ACCCGAACCAAACCTGGCACAAATATTTCGAGGGCTCGAAGCTCTGAAAGAATCACTATAAAGCCTTCGGGTCCATTTTTAAAACGACCCGATTTCGATTTTTGTCAAAATAATATTTTGTAAGCCTAGAGTATTTGCTCTTAGATGATAGAATGGTGTGGACTTCTATTTGTTAAATCAGGCTTATATAATATTATTCTGGTTAAAATCTTAATCGGATCATGTTTAAAAATTGACCCGAACAGGGGTTTTAAACAACACTAGTTAATATTATCATTGATTTAGGGGGGGAGGGGGTATAGGAGTGTCAGCTTTACAGGTTTGAATTAATACATTTTAAATTTAAAAGGACATATAGGTAAAGTGCAAATATAAAAAACAATTTTTTTTATAAGGAAAATTGGTTAAAATTATACTTCTGATGACGGGCTAGACATTTTAACTTGAGAAGCTTTGTCAACATTTGAAATACCTATTAAAAATAAATAAATAATGGAATTTTATTTTCATGAAAATCAAACGATAAATTATTATTTTTAATATATGCGTTACCCGAGTTATCGAAAGGGGATTTCGCTTTAATCATTAAAGAATTGTCTTTAGAGCTTATCAAACTCAACAACAATTTTTGGGTTAAATCTTTAAACTGCTGCAACATCCGCTCCGTATTAAAAGGAGTAGATGAAGTTGGCTCTTGAGACGGTTCTTCTTCATTGTTTTGCCCTATGCACATCAGGGTCAACAGGATAAACAACCATATATCATATGTGCATAAATCAGGAATTTCTGAATTAGTTGACCCTATAAACCGGGGCTTGATAGGTAGGTACTGGGTCCAACCCCAGGGTAAGAAGTCCCCACAGAAAATAGCGCAAATTATTGAGATTAATATGGTAAATGAATATTCCAAAATGGAAGCGGGGAGATATACTGATAAGGCGCTTATGTGAACGAATTGCGACGTGAAACAAGTGAGTAACAATGAAGGCAAGTTATACAAACCTATAATACTGGGGTTAGCATTAATGTTAACTATTTTTGTCACGTGGTAGAGAATCTCCGATAGAATTTTTATTAAAAACTTTATCATGCTTATTTATATACTTTATTTATTTAATATATTACCAATAGAACAGAATTTACAAAAATTTAATAAAATTAATTTAATCAGAAAAACAAAAAGACTTTAATCATTATTACATTTTCGATCTTTTTTTAAACATTTTTCAATATCACTATTCAAACTAATTTTAAACAATCAAAATTTACAAACTATAAAATCTTACAAATATAGAGATATGATCAATTTATATTTTGCTAATTATTAAACCAACAGTCAATTTTTATCACATTCACAACACCTTTTTCCTATTAACCTCAACATACGATGTGTGTTAGCATCTTGGACTATTTGATTCTGAACTGTCAATGGTCTATACGATAACTAATTAATTCTAGTCTTTATACTTTGTTGCTGCCTATCACTTCCAAGACATTACTGACTTATCCTTAACTTCAACAAGGAAACTTCTAAATATTTCTTTTGTTCAACATTGTCTGTTTCTAGTAATCTCCCGTTAATTCATTTTTCAAGTCTTTTGTCAATTATTCATGGCTTTTAATGATTTATAGTAACCGACAACGCCTTTTTGTACTGATTCCTATTTTCTAAGATCTTTTGTCTATACTTAGATATCAATACTATTTATTCTTCATACCAACGATAAATCTTAGTCTATTCATCCATTTCTACCTAAAATAATCTATAAAACTTCATATGTACTCAGTAATTTTCAAATTATTTTTGCCTCTTATTAAACCTTAAATTTATAACACACAAGACCATTATATTAAATTGTATTATATACTAATGTCAATTTCCACAATCCCTTTACACTTAATTTAGCCTTTACTCATCTCTTCTTGAATCATTTGTCTATAATTGTCCTTAAGCTATTGATCATCATCTTTTGTCAACTATGCTAGTGACATAAATGTTTTCCCAAGAACTTTTTTTTTCTCTATATAAACGTTTTTCCAATACCCTATTTTTCTATATATATTCATTTTCCCCAAAACATCTTTTGTTTCTCCTTTTTCCAAAACCATATTTTTCTATTTATATTCGTCTTTCCAATGATATATTTTTTTTTCTCTTAAAAATGTTTTTCTAAAACCATTTTTTCTCTTTATATTCTTTTTTACAAAACCTTTTTTTTTTTGAGAAAAAAGAATACTCAAAATTTTATTTGATATATTACTTTTTTAAATTCTAGCGTAAATTTTCAATTTTTCGATGATCATTCTTCTGTAATTGTATTTGGAATTGAATAATAAGTTAAGATAAAAGGTAGAACTAAAGTATATAATATAATCTAACGTTATAAAAAATATATAAGTATTAACTAGAACTTTCTTATAATATTTTACTTCCAAAATATCTATTACTATTTGAAGGTCTTATTTTAGTAGCAAAAGAAATATAAATTGAAATGTTAAGATGGTTAAGGTTTTTATGTGTTGCTTACTTTCGGATAATTTTTCGTTCAATTAACATCGAAAAGTAATATACTTATGACTCCTGTATTTAGAGCTTCAGTTAACTTTGATCCATTTTGGGTCAAATAATAATTTTGAGTACGGGTGGATCATTCCTAATTGAGTCAATCAAATGATAATTATGTTTTTATAAAACTTTGAACATTATTTTTATGACCATTACAATCATCTTTAGCTTCGTAGGGAACTAAAAGGAAGAGGCAAACAGCCCAATAAAAGGCATATTATACGCTTATAACACGCTTACTATTGAATAATTCATAAATATTATTGGCTACTTTTATACTTCTTTTGATGATTTGCATATAATTATCAGGGAAAAAGGTACAAGCAAAGCAAAAAATTATCTGTAAATTTGATAAGTTATCCAAAGAATAGATGAATTAGTGTCCTGAGGGTCAAATTTTGAGACGATAATAAGAGAGGAAATATAGCTCAAAATTTATTTTTTCCAATCACAGGGGTTGTAGATAATTTTGATTTATATAAAGTAAACAAACCACTTCTAATAGGATAATACCAAACGATCAATTATCGTTGAACAAGAATAAAAGTGTAATCAGTTGATTAGCTAAGAAGCGAATAAATGAAAAAACCAAAATTAAAACATGATTTCGTTATGGGATAATTTGCTCTAATATGACTTCCAACTTTTCAAATTCCAGATAGAATTTTCTGAATACTCCGTAAATTTTGAGCAAGGAAAATTATCCAGCCCAAAACTTTCATAAAATTCTCTAAGAAAAACTACTTTAACATACACTTTTTAACATTAAAATTCCACTTTTGAAAGGTGAATTTACTAATAATTCAATACCTTGTATTTATTGACAACAAATTTTTAGGGACTGAAGACGAGATATATATAAAAACGATTTTTCCCAAAATCATCATAATTAACGGATTTGAGGATATCATATTATAAACTCTTCTTTGGATTCAGTTAAATTAATATATCGGGCAATATTGAATGAACAGTGATGACAGGCATAAATATGATATGTATTTAGTTAACATTTAAATTTAATGAATTCCTATTTAAATATAATTTTAAAACACTTGAAATTTATAAAATAAAGATTTTGACAATTGTTACTCATCTGAATTATATTATCATTTAAATTATACGAAATCCTATTTAATATATAAGATAGCAAAACAACTTGATTTAAATTTTAAAACTTAAGACAAGATTAATGACCGAAAAGAAAATAATTGGCTAAGAGTTTGACATAAGGTAAACTAATTCGCCACTTAGAATTGAAAAAAATTGAGCCCAGATCAAAACTTAATAGCTGAAATATCTTTATGCCTAATTAAGCTCGTGAAAAAGAATGCAAGGGTCAACTAAACATCATAGTATCTAGTTCTTTAGGTTTTGGTATCAAATAGTGCAAAACAGGCGGATAGGTAGCAAATTTTTTTAAATCCATGCCCACCCAGATTTGAAGCAGTCCGAATTTTTTTAAAAGCTTATAAGAATCAAATCTCTAAATAGTAATTTTATTCTATATTTTTAATGTTATACATTTTAAATTTAAGTATTCAGCAATAACCTTGATAATTTAATAACATTTTTCTATTTATTAGAAAAGTGTGATATTCGATCGCAAATATTGAATTGAGTCAGGTTAGGCCTAAACTTTATTGATGCTTTTACTCTCGGTCCTACAGAACTCTAATAGGGAGGAAATCATATTCCAAAAGTTTTATTACCTATTAAAAAAAAATATAGTATGTAAGTATATTAACCCTACTTATCTGGAGACCCTTTTAACCTAAAGCTCATCCAACTAATTGTCCCACTTTCGCTGTTTTGTTCTGCACTATTTCGCTGTCATGCCAGATTTTTGACTTCCTTTTAAAAACATAACTTTCATCTTAGTTCATATCATTTTTTCCATTTATTTTGCTTTCTAAAAAAAAAATATATAATAGGAGAACTAATTTCTTTCTTACTCATACCAAGAATCTTTATTTCGACTACAAAAAAAAGTATAATTTAATTTTTTATGTCAATCAATAAGTCAACTAATTTTACGACCCTGACTTAGGTTCGGATAAAAATCGAACTTTTTAACAACACTAAAGAAAAGTCTAATAGACCTAATTTTAGAAAAGTATATTTATATTATATAAATTTTTAATCTTGAATTAGTTTCTGTTAACGGGGAGGGCTTAAAACAAAAAATGTAAAATGTTTTAAATAAAAAGATATAGTTTATAGTAAGCAAGATTCCTTAAGCGAATCGCATCTTAAGATTATCAATTTCATTAATTCAACTAAGCGCTCAGTCATTATAAATACTATCGTTTATTTACTTGCTTTACACCGTGATGGATTAAGCGAATCGTGCTTACTATAAACGAGGCGAAAATTATGTGACATATCATATATAGGTTTCCCCTTTATAATAGAAGCATATAAATAATCCATGATAAAATAATAATTAGATCAATTATACAAATTGCTTAAATATATAAATTTAAAATATATATATAATAATAATTATATTGAGCGAATAATTTTAATGACAGGATAAAATAAACATTCTTTCAATTATCTTTATTTAAAGGTGCTTGTGTCAATATCGCTGGATAAAGAAGTATAGATCTTAGATACGATTTCAATGCAGCATATTCCTTGTTTTATTTTGTGTAAAAAATTACATTATTTATATATTATATTATATAAGAGATAGGAATGCAAAATATTTTTAGAGACCTGGCCTGAAGTTCGCTATTTATTTAAAAGCTTTAGAATTAAGCCAATTAGTTATGGTTAGTTTAGTTTCGATAACAAATCACCTGCACCTTTTAAAAGGGTGCCTTCTGATTTATTTGAAAAAATTTGAAGAGGTGATATAATTACCATAATTAAGGAGCTAAAGGTTTATCCTTGAACTCCAAACAGGAAGGGCTAAGCCTTCAAAAATATGAATCAAATCATTCATCGTATGTAAGAATCGTATAAATAACAACGTCGTTCATTATTCGATTCGTTTTCAAAATAAAATTTTTCCTGAGTTATAAAAAAAAATGAGAAATCTATCAGTCCTGACCAAAGTCCAATTTGGGTATAGGGGCCAGGCCAAATTTTTTTAAAATAAACCTGGGCCGGGTCGAATTTTAAAACTCAATTATTACCATAAATAATAATATTAGAGCTCTGCATTGGATCTATTTTTTTGAGTCAATCAAATTATTTTTTTTGATGAACCCCAGTTCGGCCCGAAAATATTTGGAAAATTTTGGATTGAGGAGAAACTACGATTTTTCAAGTAAAGTGGACAAATTTATAAGTACTAAAGGAAAATAGCATTTTTTAGCATTAGGGATACGGAGGTCCAAGCCTAAGTCATATATTTTTGTCTAAACTAAAATCTTAAATCAAGATCCGGCTTAAAGAAATACATAAGAATGTCTGTCCGATTCCGATCAGGGCACTAACTTATATAATATTAATATAGTGAGACCTTAAAGGATTTTGGCGGGATGTAATAATTTAAAAGGAAAGGAGTAAGTTTGTTATCAAGTTTCATATTTTTTTTATAATGAAATACTTTGGTTTGCTTAGCAATCTGCAAAGGGTAATCCACTTTGTTTCGATGAGCGTTCTTAATCCTTTCATCCCTGGATGCTTGACTAGCCGTTGGCTTAATATGAATTGCTGGCTTTATAGTAGAGGCTGACAAAGGTTGTTGTCGCTCCAGCCCATTCAAAATGGCAGAAATTTGTATGGGTTCCTTGAGGGATGACGCACGGAAGTAGGAATTAGCGTTAGTTGATGTTAGGTTGGATTCAGGCCGGGAGGATGGCAAGAAAGAAGCGTAAGGGACTATAGCTTGCGGCAAAATTAAACGACTCTCGGCATCGAGGCAAGGAGGCAACATTCGAGAACCGCCACCTTCCTTCGGGTTAAACGGTGAATAATCGAACTTACGTTTGATTTTTATTTTGTAGGCCGCCTTTATTAGAGACCCCGAACTCAAAGGGATAGCTGTCATTCATTACCGATACAAATAAAATGAATATCAACAAACTCGAAATTGATGCAGATTTAATTGTTAAATATTAAAATTAAACTTCTATTTTAAAAGCTTCCTTTTTTTACGGGCAGTGTTGAAAACCTCGATTTATGTGCTTTTCAAGAGACGGCTAAATCAAGATTTTAATTTTAGCTATAAACAATATTACTGTGAGTACATGAATTATAAGATGGATATTATGAAAATTAGGAGGATTAATATGAATATTATATAAGCGTTTTTATATATTTTTATTATTAAAATAATATGTTCAAGATGATATTATATGCGAAAAGTTTGGAGAAAAAATATTACAGATGATGTAAATTTTAATTTTTTTAAAAGAAAATTGTTATTGAGATTATGATAATTAATTTTTTTTTCTTGTAAGTTTTACACAATTATTATTTGTTGGTACTTTTCAATTTCTACATTCATTTTTTTTATTTATTTATTTTATAATTTTGATTATTTTATAGTAAAGGTATATTAGATCGTGCAATAAAGGATAAGTAAATTATCGTACATTTTAATTAATTTATTACTATTTTAGTAACTTTTATACTTTATAGACTGTGGGGCTTTTCAAACACTTATTGAAGATTCTAACTACTTGTCAACAGTTCTTATATTTTCCTATTCTTCAATGGTTCTTATTTTAATATCTTTTTACATTGCCTATGTCTCGATATTTCGCATATAAATTGTAGAAAGATTTGGTCCTCTTTATACCAAATCTCGAGGTTTTGTTAATGTATTTTATAGTTAAAATCTTGATTGCGCCACTTTTTTAAAGCGCCTCAATCAAAGTTTTTGGCAACACTATTACGAGCTTTATAGCAAATATAAAATTCATATCAAAAATTTCAACCCTTTTTTCATAAAAAAAAATTGGCCCCTCCTTTTTAGCATATTGAGCCTACTTTAGCATTAAGTTTATAAAATGACGAACCTTTGACATTTAGGTTTTGAAGATTTAAATCCATAGGCATCACGTGATCGATAGGATTAAGAAGGATAGGAGTAAGAACATTTCCGCCTATGTTGATAATATTGGAAGAACCAGTGGACACTTCTTTTTGTATGTATTCCAAACCTAATATTTTTTTAAACAGGTGTTTAATTAAGACAGGAATTAAAATCTGACTTATATTGGAGCATCATAATATCGTTCCATTATTTAAAAAACTTAATATATGCTTAAATTAGTTTTATCTATAAGAAAGTAGCATTATTACTAAAGGCGTTACTTTTTATGTTACCCATTACTTTATTTTTTTTATTACGATTATTTAAATTAAGATTTAAAGAAGTATCTATAGAAAACTTTAACTAATTTCCACATTAAAACCTTGTTTATATAATACAACCCTGCCATCCTCAGAACTTATTAAACGGATGTTAAGTGCATCAAAGATGTTAGTAAGAAATTAACAATCTTATTTATAGGATAAAAACTTTAAAAAATGCTATTAATTAAAAAAATTGTTAAAAAAGAAATTATCAATATATTTATTAAAATAATCATATAATAAATAATAATCTGTGCAATTATCTATTTGATTGTGTGGCATAATAAATGCTACATATCGATTAATAAATTTTTTTTAAAGATAACGTAAAAAGTAACGAAATGGCGTTAATATTTCTATAGAGTAACGCCAAATGTAATGGCGTTACTTTTATGAGTAACGCTAATAGCTTTAGTTTAAATAAGTTATAATATTCTTTTTAAACTAGAGGTTATATAAGTGTTAATGTAGCCTAGATATACATCATCGACTAATATACTATCATTACTAGTTCCTGGTTCGTCAACTTCCTCAAGGGATACAGAATTGCCTAAATGTCTTGCATTGGTCTCGAGAGATAATTTTAAGTATAAAAGGTTGGCCCAAGCTATCATGTTCTCTTTATAGGGTGGAAGGAAAGAATGGTGGTCCAAAAATTTAGTAATAGTGTTGTCAGTACTTGGATCTGCATGATTCGCGTTTGAATAAATATATATAATATTTATCAAAAAATTAAATTTATGTTTATTTTTTATACTTGGGACGATTTTAATATCGCGATTCACTATCTATGTAAAAATAAAGAAATTAATCATATAAATTAACAAACTTGTTGAATAACGCCATAAATTTCGTTGTATTCTTCATTGAATTGATCCTGATGTTTTTCGGTGAGCATAGGCCTCACCATTAAATTTGCTTTTAAAAATAATATGTGAATAATAAAATCATCACTTGATTGGTAAGGTGAATATAAAAAAAATAACGTTACTTGGCCCTATGGGGGCATAGTTCACACCTATTTCAAAGTTGTTATAATCTCACTCAAATTTTAATATAGCTTCGATATTTCAAATATTTATTGGTTACAATTATAATAAATAAATAGAAAATATTTAAAAAAATTTAATGATAAATAGAAAAAATATTTTATCAGTAAATTTTTATAATTATAATAAGAAAATGTTATTTATTCTTTTAAATTTACGCGAGTATCAGAGTAGGAGTATAGGAACACCCTAGCTAAAATAAAACGTTAATATTTTAAGAATTATAGAATAAAAAATTTTTTAAAAATTATCAGAGCCATAGTTTATGATTAAAATAGGAGGGTACTCAAAAAATTACATCAAAATATGCTTTTTTAGTGGCAACAATTTAAAAATCTCTGGTGTTTTTGATATGCCCCCTTTATATCACAGGTTAATCGCAATATAAAAAAATACTACCGTTATCTGCATTCACTTTGTCATTAAAATATCTCTTTGTCGAATTCCTGAAATTTAAAATAAAGAGGATAATAATTGATATATAAAAGTAGACTAAAAAAATTGTTAATTGGTTTTCAAAAGATTAATTGTTATTTTATATATCTTCTATTGACAAAAACCTAAAAATTATACGTTAGCTTAGAGCTATGAGCGCCCGCAGGAAGAGACAAAAGGTTAAACTAAAATTCAATCACCCCCTTCCCCCACCTATTGGTAAAAATCTTGCGCACGCTCCTGATTAGAGTACTGCATCCAACCTTTAATGGTCTGGCCTGTTCAAAAAAAAAAAATTTTCCGATTCCATTTTAAAATTGGTTACAAGCTATACTGAGCCCATCAATACTCTTCATTTTATATTTTAAGGTTTATTAGTTTAATATTGATTAGAAACATAAATTTTTTTTCAAATTAAAATACAAAAAAATAAAATAGGGAAAATTACTTCTAAAAATGTATAAATTAAAAGTTTAGGAACATAATTTTTAAAAAAAATTTAATTAAGAGTTGGCTCAAGTCTGTTAATCTTACCATAGGCGCCGACTTTATGGGGGCAGGCGGTCCTCGCGCCCCCATTGAAATTGACACATATTTTTTGAACATCAAATTAACATAAAATTTCTTTAAAAAAATTTAGAGCCTCCCAAGAAATTTTTTTTATATTTTCATTAAGTTTACAATTGAAAATTAGATCACTTTATTTAGCAGAAACTTATTTTTTTTTCATATAATAAAAAAAATGTACGAATTATAGAGATCTTGAAATATCTGTTTTTTGAAGTATTGGACTAATCTAAAATCTCCGGGATTCATTGCAGTCTCCAATTTTTTTCTATGAGTGTATTTTCTACCTGAAATCAGAAAAAATAACCAATTATTACGCGGGTTAAATGTATATGTATGTAGTTAATATATATTTTTTTAAAAAAATTATTACGCTTCTTCGTCCTTTTGCAGGTTATCACGCGGGTCCTAAATCGACCCCTATTATTCAATCTAAACTTTTTTATGATCCGGGCCAACACATCTTCGTCCACTTTTCCAAAATCCAAATATCCTAAAGATGGATTAGTATCAGGGCTAAATATTATTTTTTTTAATATAAAACAATTTAGAAGTAATTATAACAACATATAGTGCTGTTTAAAATATCTGGTTACATTTTTTTTATATTTCCAAAAATAATAACAAGTAATAAGTTGCTATTTTTTTTCTCGAATGCAACGACAAAGGCAACCAGCCATATATGAATAAGACATCAAAGTTATTTTTTAAAATATTAATATTCATTTTTTTTAAATCATGTAAATTTATTTAAAAAATTCCTATCATAATATTTAAAACACTATAAAAATTAAAAATACAATTTCATAATTGGGTTCCCAAAAAGGAACTATAATTATATCTAAAAATTTCTATTTTTTGGCGTATTTATAAAAATTCTTTAGCTTTGTTTGTAAAAAGCAGGATTTTTTTGCCTATTTTTTTTAAAAAAACTTATAAAATTAGCTGTTTGTGAAAGTCACTATTATCTTTACATAATGATTTACCCAAATCCTATGTCTCATTTATACCAAGTGCTACATTAAAGCGTTTGTTTAGTCTAAGGAAGCTTATTTTTAAAAAGCGCTTTTTTCTAAACACCAATTTAGAAAATAGTTTATTGTTAAAAATAAAATATAAAAAAAAATATTAAGCCCTAAAATATTATATTGTTATATTTACGCAAATAAAAGTTTGTGACTGAAACAGTTACAAAATATAACTTTTAACGACATTATGGTAAAGTTCGAAATGGCACTCTTAGATATAATGCTATATATAACATGGAAGATAAATAGATAAGTAATTTAAGCAAATACTAAAATGTTTAGAAAATAATTTTCAATTTATTTTTGATCCAATATTAACATTTTGATTTGAATCATGAATATTTTTTTTAATCTATCATTCTGATATATCGAACCGATATTTTAAAAATAAATGAACGAGCATGCCTTACGCAATATAAAAAGATGGGTGCCTACATATCTAGCTATAGTGTAGCTAAAAATAATTCTTAGATAATTAAATTTTAATCGAAATTTATATTAAATTATATTTTTATCATTTGGCACAACTGGATAGACCACTAATTGGGATAAATTCCGATGCAATAGAGGATTATACTAGATAATAAGTGCCAGATATTATGTCCAGTGGTTAGTAATAAAAAAAATAAAGTATTTCTTGATTTTTGTAAATTAAAATAAAAGAAAATTTAAAAAAAAAAGATCCCCCTCCTTCCTTCACTCAGGATGAATGGTCGTACCCCTCCATTCCAAGCCAGATGTTACCTGGGGACGAAACCCTATACAGTAATAAAGGTCAATTTAAAGAAAAAAATGTTAAGTAAATTATACCCTAATAAATTCCACTTTAAATCAAAGTCGTCAATGGTATCATTTTTTGGCTCAATATTTTGGTTGTTATTTTCGTCGGGATGGTCAGCTGGCTCTACTTAAATTATGATTAAAATAAAATAGATACAATCAACTCGGATATAAAGTAAAACATGTCTAATTTGGACACCGTTCAAATTAATTTTTTAGAATTGTTTGATTTTTTATTATTTTGGTAAAGATGTAACAAAAGGGTGGGAAATTTCGCTCCTCATCAAAAATTTGACTGCTCTCATAAGTTAATATTATTTTATGCTAATAAAAAAAATTCCCTCAACCCCCCCCCCTCCTCCAATGTAACAAAGATATCACTTAAAAACAATAATTTGAAAGAAAAATAAGCATATTAATGATTTTCTAAAAATAGGGACCAAGATTCAAATTTTTAAATAAAAAGCATTTTTTTATAAAAAAAAGTGAAAACTCTAAATTATTTTTTATAAAAATATTAAAGGTTTACAATATGTGGACTTAAAGACTTACAATAAAATTTACGGGCCTATGGCTCCCTCTATAAGAAACTCCTGAATGCGGCTATGCATTTGGGATTTATTTTTGAAAAACTTTTTAACTCTTACTTTTCTTTAGCTTTCATCAATCAATTCGTCACATTTTTGACGCAATAAGATATTTAAAAAACAGCTTTCACATAGGACAAAAATAATAGTAAAAAAACTAACTTGTATCCCTGGTGGATAGTGTGGAGTTTTGAGTTACTAATGTTTTTCGAGGGTTCTTTGCCTTTTTTTATATTTAAATTTATGTAAATTAAATTATTGGATGTTTCGTCAAAATAAATAACTTACCTCTTCCTCGTGCGTCCTCATATATGCGTCGTATAAAGGAGTCAATTCTTGCTCCAATAATTTAAGGCATTCCTCCATTTTTTCTTTGGAGTCCGTGTTACATCTTTTTATTCGCAACAAGATTCCGCATCTGCTCAAAACTTGGTTATCAGAACGAGAGGGTAGCAAAGCGGTCAACTTTGACCATACGAATCCATGTGTTTTAACAAATTTCAAAATTCTAGCATCTTCGACGCAATTCCAACTCCCGAATTTTAATGTGGGATTAAGAATATTTTGATACCTGTGTTTTGAATCGGTAACAAAAATTTAAAAAAAATTAACATTTCTATTTCGTGTAATTTTATAATCAATTAATTGGACCCATCATTGTCCTTAAGCTCGTGAGAAAAATGGTTTTTTGGGGAGGATATGATGAACATCCGGTTATAACTAGCATATAGAGAAAAATTTCAAAATTAAATTATCCGACCCTCAAAAATTTTTTATCGTGCTAAATAATGTTTGTTATCTTCCCCTTAGAAAAAAATTACTTTTTCCTAAGGTGTAATAAAAAACTGACTGTTATTTGATCTTGCCAAACGACATATTTTTTTAAAACAAATCTATTTTCGGTGGTTATTAAAATGAGTGTTATTAAACGGCTCATGTTGAGCCAATTTTTAAAAATGGCTAACTCAATATTTTATTAGGAATAATATTATGCAAGCCTTAAGATTTTGCTCATAGATGGCACAAATGAACATATTAACGAAATCTCAAGGCTTAGGCAATATTTTTCTGGCTAAAATATTTAGTTAGCCGTTTTTAAAAGTCGGCTTAAATCGAGCAGTTTAACAACACTAATTAAAACTATTCTTAATAATTGAAAAATAATTTTATTTTATAAAAAAAACCATTTAAATTTATTAAAATGAAGAAATTATCACAAAACCATATTGATTTTTGAAAAGTAAAATTGTTAAAAATAACACTCATGCGTGATGACCTAAGAAAATAAAATGCAGATTTTTTTTAAAAAAAACCTATTCATACATTGAGCCTCATTTCTGCTGGGCAAGAGCTGCGATACTTTACTCCACACCATGCCACATTTATCGACGGCATCTAGTAATAACTAAAAATAATTTATTATTTTATAAATGGTGGGTACAAATTTCTAACGATTAATCCTTAATTAAAATGCTGTCTAGTCTGTCGAGAAATGAAATCGGCTTTTATTATGTTTTTTATTTTATTTTTTTAAATCAAGAGATTTTCATAATATTTAAAAAAATCGCTAATTTTTTTCTAGAAAATTCTTACCCCCCTCTCCCTTCCCAATTATTAGGTAATTAATTTTAGAAATAAAATTTTTGGAAAAATTTGACAAATTTTTTTTTCCGTCTCCTAGTTTTTTTTTGTCGCAAGCGGTATTTGGTCCAAGTTGTGAAGCAGTAAATAGTATATATATATTTATTGTACCACAGAATATCATAAAAATGACTGAATTTACTAGGGATGTACCGATATTTTATATCGGATCGGATCGGGCTGATATTTCGCTCATTTTAAAATATCGGTTATTGGCAAATATTATAAAATTTTCCGATCCGATATAAAATGGCGCTTTTAACAAAATTTAAAAAAAATTATATCTAAAAAACCATTTATTTTTATAAATAAAATCGAAATACATTTTTATGTTTAATTTTTTTAATAGAAATAATTAGTTAATAAACATTCTGCAATATAGTTATTTTTTCGCATCTGTTTAAAAAAGTGTTCATTAATCTCTTCAGTATCTGTTTTTAGTGATGCTAGTGATATTAACAGTCCCCATCACCGCCGACATATCTCTGATATAAAAAGAATTCGATATATTAATTTTAAATATTAATTTCAAATTTCATAATATATTTTTTTATTACTAATTATGTAAATAGATTAATGTTATTACTTATTATATAAATAATAGCAATTGAATTGAATATAAACTATAACTGACCATTATAATATATTTAAATGACATATGTTATGGTATAGTAAAATTATAGATGTTGTACTAATAAAAAGTATATTAAAAATTAAAACCGGTATCTTTGCAGAATACAAAATTAGATATGATATCGGATCGGTTATCGGCCGATATCAATTTAATATCTGAAATATCGGATCGGATCGGCCTCCAAAAAGTGGTATCGGTACACCCCTAGAATTTACCAAAAATAAATGTTTCTCCTTTCTTCCAACTTTGCATAAAATTATGTTTGCCGGTAAAAGATGTTGAACGAAATTATAATTTCTTGAGAATTTTTTATCAGTGATTCGGCTATATTTATAATAATATAAATGTTCTCTTCTCTCATTTTAGAATTACCTTATAAAAGATACATTTACGGTTCCATAAATTATGACCTTCAATTTCAAAAATTGTTATTAGACAAGTTGATTCAACAAAATTGATGATCTATCTCATTTTCGTCACCTTAGCTGGAAACCATTAATTAGTATCATGATGAATAATACAATCATAACATATATCCTTTGTTGAGCATCATATTATTGTCATCAGCTGGATTATTTAAAATATCTGATCATCAGGCGGAGAGTTGTGTGATATTGGATTAAATAGCAGAGCTTAAACCCCTATACCAAACCTGACTAAAGATTTTAAAATATTTGAGCCGAGTTTATAAAATTAACTTAAAAAAAACTTGCCGAATGATAAAAAAATGAGCTTTAAAGCTTTTTCCCGTCCAATCCGAAAATCTATAGGACCAGCCTGGCCTTCGGGCTGGATTGGACCGATCTGCCACCACCTCTAATCTCCATCACAATATATCAAAAAAATGTGTTTTAGCGATTTTTTATAATAGGCAATTAAGTTTTAAAATGTATCATGATTTACAACTTTTTAAAAATGGATTACAAAGGTGCAGTGCAGTCCATTATTACAATCCAGGAATGCTATTATTGGCTAATGAGCATCACGTTATGTTATATGATAATTTTCAAAAAGTAAAATTTTACTCATTTTGTCAATTGAAATAAGATTTTTTTAAAAAAAGACAAGATTCTCACCAGCTTCTACTCTCACAATTAAGAAATGTCAGCAATTAGATTAATAATATCAAAATAAAATATTTAAAAAAACAAATGTAATTATGCTAACTTTGTCTTCTCTCTCGTCCCATTTCCCGGATTTAATTTCGGGATCCACAGATCTCTTGTAATGTTTGACCATTTGCACATAGTTTTTGTGAGGAAAATATTTGAACACGTGATTCCATAAAATACGCTGACCAACCTTGTATTCGGAAACCAGTTCTTTCAACTTTTGGTCTTCTGCTAGAGTCCAACTAAAATAAGAAACAATGGTATAATTAATCAAACTAAATTTTAAATAAAAAATGATCCTTCACATTAGAAAGTCCATAGGCCGGGCAAAAAAAATATCGCGCTGGGCTGGACATATTGTACAAAATACTTTTTGGGCGGGTCTAAAGTTTTGGAAAATGATTTTTAAAGTTGATAATTAGTAGGGCTATGCCGATATTAAACATCGAATAGAATCGGCGATGATATTTAGCGTTTTCCAAAAATATCGGATCGGTCCGATACCTGTAAAAACCGATCTGATCTTTTTACTTTTCTTTTTTTGTTATTTTATGTATATTTATTTTACATTAATAATATTTTCTGAATAATTTTTTTAAACAATACAAATGCACAACACCTCTTAAATTTTATTTATTTTTTGAAATAGATTTATAATATTTTAAAAGTTTTTTATAAAAATAGAAAGGAATACCCAAAGTTTTATTTATTTTAAATCTTTTTAAATAATAGCGACAATTTTATTATTTATACTTTAAATAAAAGATTTTTTTAAAATATGGTATCTGAATTATGGAAATATTTTACAAAAGACAAAGATAATTTTGCAAAATGCATTATTTGCGGAATTCAAATTTCTCGGGGAGGAATAATGAAAAATTCATTTAATACTACCAATATCCGTAAACTTTTTTAAAATTATTGCAGAAAAAAAAATTAATTCAATGCATAATTCGATTTTTTGCATAAAAATATTGATTTCTTAATTACATTTAGTTCAAAGGGATGTGGTGAAAAATCAATATAAATAACGGATCTGTGGATCGGCATAGCCCTAATAATTAGGCAAATTTATGTCGTTTTCCTTCATAAAAAAAAAATGTTAAAGCTTGTCGAAAAACCTCAATAAAAAATATTCCATGAGCCAGGTCAGACCGACCTCCGTCAAACTCGCATTCAAATTAAATGACAGTAAAATTTCATGATTGATTTGTTTAGATGGTCAAGCGAAGGCTATACTATATGATCACTCAAAGAGAACAATCGTTCATTGAATTTTTTTAATTTATTTAAATCAAAAACTCCCAAATTGCCAATATTATTGGACAATGGGATTGTCACTTTTCAGAGGTCTTAAAGCAATATATTCGTATTTTGCTTTTATCAGTTATATTATTGCTAATCATCAGATTATAATTGTAAAAAAAGTAAACTCAGAAGAAGGCTAGAATAATTACTTACAAAATATTTTTTTAAAAAATAGAAGATTTCCATAAAAACAATATTATGTTGGTAGATATGAATTATTGCATATTATTTTATATTAAGTATGTATGAATTATGTCCAAAACCAGGAAATTTAATGCTAAAAAAATATATTCAGTATTCTTTTAGAAAAAGTTAGGTTTGCATTTGAAGGTAACTAAAAATAATGCGAGTGAGGGTTAATATAATATTAAAATGGGTGTCATTGCATTTTAATTAATATATCATTACCCTTTAAAATGTTACAAGGATCTAAATTTGAATTTTCAATATCTTTTGTCCAATTTTAAAAAAATTATGATTATGGGCATTGGTGAGTTTGGGCCTAAATCATTTAGAAATCTAGTAATATCCTCTAAAAAGTAAGCAATAGAAAAATATAACCCTCATAATATAATGAATTAAAATGTGTACCCATTGCTCTCATCTTTCAAGTGTTTTTGGTACTGAGCCAGGCATTGATAGGGCTTTCGCTTAGTTCCCAATTCCTGAGAAATAGTTTGCCAATCATGCATCCCGTATTTTCTGACTAACTCTTCTAAAGTTTCATTCTCTTTGTCGTCCCATTCCTTTTTGTTGATGGACGGTTTAAGATACAAGTCCCATAAACGTTTACACTGTTTAGAACTTTTATTGCCAATGATCTGTTTTTCAATTATAATAATAATAATAGATATATTAAGATTCATAAAATTACAGTAGATATCATAAGCCAATCGATATTGTTATTGCCGTCCAAGTCTTCCAAACTTTGCAGACTCACTGGGGATTCGCTCAGGGATTTGATAGCTTCGTCAATTTCTTTGAGCGATTTGCTGATCGCTGTTATTTCTTCTTTGGTGACAGCGTTTTTCTTATCATCCATATCAAACGTGTCCAATAATTTTTCTTTTCTTTTAAAAAAAGAGCATAAAGAGGTTACACAAAAATATTTATATTAGAATTTCGGTTCAATTATTATAGGATCCATCTATAATTTTATATTACCACTCTTTTATAAACGCAGTAAACATTATTTAAAATTAAAGAGGGGACATTAGAGATATAACTTTGACCCTAATTCAATTTTAGACCAATAAGAAACGGAGGGGAGGGGGGGGGGGTGTATTTGATAAATGTTAAAGAAATGCCTGCATATTATCTTATAACCAGGGTGGTCGATTATTAAAAACAACCCGATTAAGATATTAGCCAAAATAATATTATGTAAGCTTGGAGATTACGCTCATCGTAAGATTTGGACCTCTATTTGCCAAATCTCGAGGCCTAAATTAACTTTGGCTAAATTGGTTTTTTTTAACAACCTAAGTCAGTACCTTGTTTAAAATGATTTTTATTTTCAAACCTGGAGAGTTCTATAATAACATTCAACTTATGAATTGTCAAATAATAGTATAGTATGTATCACAAATTGAAGGGAAAAATTTACAGTTCCATAGTACAATCAACTATTCTATATAGTTCGGAAACATGGCCAACCAAAGAATCAGACGAGATAAGTCTACAAACTATGGGGATGAGAATGCTGAGGATGATTGCTGGGGTAGTACAAGAATACTAGGAAGTAAGGTAGTGCCCATTAAGACTAAGATAATGGTAAGCAGACTTAGGTGGTATAGGCACACAATGGAAAGGCCTATGAACTACATAGGAAATAAGATTGAGAGTTTGGAAGTGATGGGTAAACGTAAAAGAAGAAGGCCAAAACTTCAATGGGGCCATAAAGTTAGAGTCAATATGAAGAAGTATAAATTAGATAGATAGGAAGGAGCTTACAACCAGAAAAGGTGAAAGCTAAAGAGAAAAAAAAAGAAGTATAGTATGTATCCATATAATTTATTTTATCTTTAAAAAATTTTACAAACTACTTTTTAATCAAAGGTTCACACTTGTTTTTCACTACGGCCGTTTCGATTAGTTTGATCATAGTATTGAAATCTTCATTGCACCCTAATTAAAAGTGAATATTTATGTTTTATAATTATTATAATATTATCATCAAAATATATATTATATCTTAAAGTACGAGCTCGCTAATATCAAAATATTTCTTACATTTTTTTTGGAATATCTTGAACAATAAGCTTTCTTATCGTAAATGTAGTCTTAAAACAGATTTATCATATAAATACAAGGGATGCAAACCCTTCGATAAAAAAAAGTCCAGGTCCGGGTTCAATCAATCCATAACATGCTACATGATACTTATAAAAAGGCTGCCGAAATTTTATATTCGATCGTTCATAAAAAATGAAGGGGGGAGGGGCAGTGAAGGGGAGATTGTGATTACATCTTGAACGTTGGACATTGTTTGCTGAGACGACATTCAAAGATTCCCGTAAAGTCACGTCAACATTTTTCGGAGGTATCTAATAAAATTTCATAATTTTTATTAATAAAGGCATTTTTATAAGTTATTCGACAATATAAACCAAAAAAACAGTTGGACCAGCTAATTAGGACAAAAAAATATAATTTTCTTCGACCGAACTTGAAATAATGAGTAGAGAGATGCAGGAACATCGATATTTGATATCGGCCAGTATCGACCACTACTTGGTATCTGTCAGTATGGATCGATACTTTGTATCTGTCAATATCGATCGATACTTTGTATCTGTTAGTATCGATCGATACTTGTCATTATCTGTCAGTACCAAATGTGACATGATAGGTCAAGACGTGAGTGTGAATAAATTTTAAATAGACGACGGGCCATCCTGCGATTTTTGTCGTACGGGATTAGACGTGACCATAAACTTCCCGTGAATCACAAAAATTTTAATTTTTAAAATTGTGTTTTTATAAATATAAATTTGCAATGTTATAATTATGATATATATTTTTTAATTTCATTTAGTTCTTTTTGAAAAAATAATTTTTGAAAACAAAAAAATAACTTGGCATTCTATAGATAAGATTTTTTTCCCCGGTCTTCTAAAATTTCAATTGAATGAAAAAAAAAAATCTCTCAACTCTCGTTCAGTAATGGAAATATGGGAATAAATAAATTTAATTTATAAATCTTTTATTTAGAAAGATTAAACATTTTAATAACTTATTGTTTAAATTTTCTCATATTTAACTACCTAAAATACTCAATTATTAATTTTCCCTTTATATTTAGATTAACAAGCTTTTAAAAAAAATGTATATTTAAATATTATTTGCCTTCTCTCTATATCTGTTTTTAAGATATTATTTTTTAAGCTTTTTCATTGCTCCTCAATTGTTTGAGTAAGGGTCTAACATTTACAAAATTTTTGGATGATTTCTAATCACAATAAATATACATAGTACAATGATTGTAGAGTCTTATGCATATACTTAAATTATTATCAATATTCAAAGAATGCTCAGTAATATGGAAACAAAAATTAGTAAAAACCTTCTGAAGGTGATACAATAATATCAAACCCCTAAAAAAACAGGAAAATATTTCTCAATAAAGGAAAGATTTATTATATAGATTTAAAAAAGCGTGAAAATATAGCAATAAAGTTTTGAGAAATTTAAAAATCCCGTAAATTTTCGGGCGCAATGGGGGTGATCAAAATATTGTCTTTCGTGAGCGCGCGGGTCGGGTCAAATTTTTTTAGTAGTAAGCGTGAAAGGGCGTCATTTATTTTTTGCAACCGTGAAAAAAGCCAAGAATAAAAAAATTAGGCCCGCGCACACCTCTTGTGCCAATCGATACTTAATATTATCTGTTATCAATCGTACTTTCAAAACCGATACCCGGGGGCGATATCCAAAATGATAATTCATTTATTTATACCAAAGCCAATATCCTAAACAGTTCATTCGGCCGGATTCATTTATAAATTTCTAAAATCTTTATGAAATAAAGAATGTAACGTTAATATTTATTTCTAAGTTTTAACTTTTAATTTATGTGCATAATATAAATTTTATAATTTAATTATAAAATTCTAATAATAATTTTAAAAAATAATAATATTGATTAATTATATTTTTTCTTTTCAACAAATACAAACATACTGCCCTATTATTTTTTTTGTATTGCTAACTAGTTAGATTCATGGGCTCGGATGATTTAAATCATTGATTTTTTTATCCGTTTTTTTGAACCCGATTTATTTAAATTAAACCTTTTTAAAAAAAATCAATATGAATAATAATTTTTAAAATAATAACGAATAATAAAATATTAATTATTCGTAATTTTAAATTAATGCGGTAAAATAATTTTTTTATCTGCTCGTTAAAAATTTCCTAAAAGAGAATATTAAAATAAATTATTATAAATTGTAGGCACATGTAAAAGAATTATCTTTATTTACAATTATTTTTTGTAAGATTATAATAAATTATGAAATATTAATAGAATATTTATAGAATAAATTGGATTCAAAATTAATGATTCGAATATATATAATTTCGATTTTCTGTAATCAGAGTTCCATAAATTAAATTTCATAAATATATTGTTATTTATCGTCTGTTTGAATTCAAATTTATTAAAAAATGTTTCACTTTTTTTAATATATACCGCTAATTTAATAATCAAAACAAGTCAAGGAGAATATTAGTATGGATTTTAATTTAAGCAGAAGTACTGTATATAAAAAATTATTAAAACATTCGAGCCTAAATTCTAGAAATCCAAAGTTTCAAAATAATAAAAAAACAATAGGAGAGATGAGTATTGAAAAATATTTGTTAATAATCGATTTTCAACTTTTTAAGATAATGAAATTCATTAAAGGGCAAAACAATATCATTCCATCTACCAAACAAAGTTAAACTGGGGTATCTTTTATAAGGTAAAAATATCGATTTTATGCTAACATTGTAGTTTTTTAAATAGTCTAAAAAGGAAAAAAAACATTTCAATGTGATTGATTGAATATTAACTTAAATGGACCATTGCTTTGGACATTAGACATTAACTGATTGGGAGAAGATATCTTTCAAATCATGTCTTGAAGTAAGGTTGGAGATGAAATTCTCTAAAGAGTTATCAAAAACAAAGATGAAAGTTATTCAAAATAAAAATGTGAGTAAAACTCACCACAAAAAGAATCTGTTTTCAATATAAAATTCAGAAACAATGCTACTTCCATCCTCAGTTTCTTTATTTACCAATGACAACTTTATATTCAGCAAGACAAGTATTTCCGCCATCATAATGCCAAAACATGCAATAAATGGATAAATATTTTATCTTGATTCCTACTGAATCCAAACTTATTGAAAATATAGTGTATTATGAAGTCAGGAAGCAAATAAAAAAAAAGAAATTATACTAAAGAAGGTTGAGAGAAAAAATATAGAATTTGAGAAATATTCTTGAAGATGTAGTTTAATTTTCCCTACCTAAAAAAATAGAAGAATTAAATTAAAATATGTTACATTAAATAAAGGATGGCAAATATTTATAAAACTGATTTTATAATCATCATATTTATATGTATAAATAAATATTTAATTTGATCATTAATTTGATAATTGGTTAATTATATACTATAAATATAAAAAATTTCAAAAGGGTACTATAAATATTAAAAATTTCAAAAGGGTACTATAAATATAAAAAATTTCAAAAGGGTATGCTAAAAATTATTTTTCCTATACTAAAAATTTTCCAAATCAAAATGTAGGAAAGTTATTAGGATTTTATTACAAAAATTAAATCAATATCACAAAATATAAACTTTATAATTTCAATTAGAAACTAATTTAATTTATATAAAAAATTTTTAAGTAAATAAAATGTTATAAACTATTGCTAAAAATAATTTAGTTATTATTGGATTATAGATATTATATATTATAGTTCAGCTTATTGCTGAAAAATATAAGATGCATAGTCGATCATATTGTTTAAATAAATATGGAATTAAATATATTATTTAATTTTAACTTTATGATTTTTATCTGTAATGTAACAAGATTTGAAGCCCATAAACTGTTTAATTTTATTTTTATCATCGGTATTTGATTGACTCGAATTTAAAGTTTGTAAATGTTGGCTAATATCCTCTGATTCTTGTATTAGTGCTAGCTTTAAATGAAAGTATATCATGAATATTATATTTTATATTAACTCTGTTATCTTGAAATGTTTCTAACAAATCATCAACCTTTTCTAATACTTTATTTAACTTTTCAAGGTATAAATTGTTTAATAAATTGTAGCTCTCTATTTTCTCCAAATCGATACAATCCTTTTGCTTTTCCATTATTCAAAATTTTAAAATATAGGCAATTTATAGAAAAGGGAGATGAATGACATATAATAACGAATGTCTATTGGGCGGATGTATATATTACAAATTATCTTGTAATCCTACGCGAGATAAAAAAAATTGCATAAATGACTTATTCATTTTTTCTCCGAGTGCCAGCGGCATATTTACGGTATCCATTTTAGGAATGTCATGAATTTTTTTCGGCTAATATTAATTTTGGATTTCTTTTTTTGTAGTTTATGAATGATTCCTTTTTTTGCTAATTTTGGATTTATCTTTTTTTTATTAAAGAATAAAGGAAAGAAATAAAAAGAAACCTTTTCCAAAATAAAACTCTGGACACTCCACTGCATTCCATAACGAAATAATTGCAAATACAATGTAATATGACGTGAGAATAATTACGTATTATATTTCTACTTAAAATTTGATTAAAAAGGATGTAAGTAAGAAAAATGTAACGATTTATCAATCGCCGATACAGCATAATACCTGGAAATGTATCTGATATAGTAATGTCGATACAATAATAGAGATATTTTAACGATTTAAATTCAAGCTATAGATTTTTTGTACTATCTTCCCACACAGACTAAATTTTTTAAAATAATTTTCCAAATATTCAATTAATAAGATATGTTATATATAATAATGCTTCTAGCGCAAGAAGTGTAATTTAACGCATGGCCAAATTATTTTAAAAGATATTAAGGTATAATTTTAGATGGAAACTCTTTAAGTGTCTTTCACGTTTTTCCGGGTCTCCGCTCAGGTGATCCACTGAATCATCAATTATAATATTTTCCCAGGAATCATTTTTACCTTTGAAAAATATTCACATTAAAACTCTTTAGCCTTGCTATTTAAGTTTATTTTTCCATTACTCTATTCAAAATATTAATATTTTTCCTATAGCATTTCTATAGATCACTATTTAAAAAAAAATTTTTATTTCCGATTATTTTTCATCCCTCATTCACCGAAGAATTTTTTAAAAAAATAACACACTTATAAAGAAAATTTTTAAAAGAGTAATTTTGATGAATACTTTTTGGCTAGGTTATTCCGAGGCCGAAAAATATTAAAAATGGTAATCTTGTCCCAAATTTCAATAAGGCAATTGCAGTTACTCATTTGTAATCACTTATTGTGGTAATGCACTCGCGGTAAATATATTAGCGGAAAAGGATTCGCTCTAATAGTGATAAGGCCATTTTTTTCGGAGCGATAAATTTTTGCGCTAATGAATTCGCTCTTATAATATTAAGCGATATTGTTTGCGAAAATAACTTTTCGCCATAATTGACATAGGCGAAATTTACACGCAACCAGTCTACTGAAGGGTCAAATATATAAAAAAATTTGTATTTTTTTTACTAGGAAACATTTATAAAATGAAATAGAAAATAGTTTTCGATGAAAACTCCTATTGTTTTTAGCAGAATTTTTGATTTAATCTTGAAAGATTTTTTATGCATAAAAATTACAAAAGATTTATTATTATAAAACATTTTTTTAAAAAACATTTTTGGAACTTTTAGGTAAAATAATCAAAAATCTCTGTTCTCAGTAAAAAAAATCTTCAAAGATAAAATTTTTTTTGTAAACTCTGTTTTTCGTATCTCTGAGCGATTAAAAGTTTAGAGAAACCTATCATTTTGTTTATTTTTATTTTTAAGTTTTTAATATTATAATACAAAAATTGTAAAAAGCTGTAATTTAGCGGATTTTTGAAAAATTAAATTTTTTTAAATTTTGTTAGAAAACTCATAATAATTGATCGTTTTAACATGCTTAGCTCTCATATTTTTAAATCTCTTTTTGAAACAATTCACAATATAAATCAATTAAAATTATTTAAAATAACTAAATTTTTAAAAATGCATTTTCAGGACCGGACTATTAGAACAGGAACAATTCTTAAGACACTAATATTAGAAGGGATGTTTTCGCGTCCGTCCCCGTCCTAAATTATTAACCCCAGTAATTTTTTAGATTAGATTCATCTGTATCTATTTTTAGATACATTTGGAATCATTTTATTTTACGGTTTTTTTTATTAAATGAAATAAAATATAAATTCAATTTATTAAATATTATGCCCGAGTTTGTTTCATCAAAAACAAACCCGTCAAATTTTATTTTACACTATGGATGAAGCCATCATGGTAAATTTAAAATTTTAGCTGATGAACTGTTTCCAACTGATTGCAAGCAGTTAACCTCTGGAAAAAACATAAAATAATGAACTTTCATTTATTTTTTCATCACCCCTTAGAGGATGTGAATAATGATATAAATTTTGAGATTCATCAAATTTTGAATGATATTTTCAAAAAAAAATTTAGGGATTTTGGTATATAAAAAATTATCCCAAAATAAAGTTGTCATTCATAAAATATATTACCACTCTGCCGCTAAGTGTTCCTATAGAAAGATACTTTAGTATGGCTAAAAATATAGACAAACGAGGATAATTTAATAATTAAATTTTAAAAATGTTTTATTAGTAAAATCTAACAATTATTATTTTTGTTAATTTAATTATATATTTTATATATGAATTATTAAAATCTATAATAATATATTTTGTATATAGAAATAGATATGAACTCACAATTATTTTGGCTCATTTATAAAATTACAATGCATATATATATAATTATAATAAAAATGTTTCTTGTGAAAATTGTTTCTGTATAGCTTTTTATACAAGAGATAATCATTGAAAAATCTTTTAAAAACTCTTGTGTTAAGCCCAAGTCCTACCTCTTCTGAAATGTTGAAAATGAGCATTTTTTATGGTATTTAAAGTTTGAATATACAATTGGTACTGATGAAAGCAAAATACCACCGATAGGAGATTTATCAATGTTTTTGAGATCAGGTGGGGGAGCCTATGAGAGAGTTTACATAAATGGCCTAGAAGGTTTTAGAACCCTTTATTTAATATTTAATATTGATAATTTATGTTTACTTAATTTTAATATGATTTAATCAATATTTATTATAATTATCTTTTAAAAAATTGAATAAAAAATTGAAAAAACAATATTTTGTATTTTATGAAACTTTATTTACGCAAAATTGAAAATATATCTAATTTTTACTTATTTGTTTTTATTTACTACATTTTTAATTGTAGGTATTAGAAACATCTGTATCAACTTTCTAACAAAGAAAGAATATTTTCTAAAAAAAATTGTCCAAAATCTTATAGAACAGAAAACAAAATCGGTTTTTCAAAGAAAGTGTTATATCTATTTTAAATGTTATAGATTTAAATGAATTAGGAGAGAAAAAAAAATTGTATAACTTATCTATTTACTCAAAATATTTTGAGTGCTTTGTTTAAAATAGGCCTAATTTTAATTTATATATTTTGGGATATTTATCAGCCATGCAAAAGCATTTCCAGCGATGGCCAAGGTTTAAAACTTTGCATCCGACTTGGATTATTTGGTTTTTTAATTAGAAGCCCTTTATCAAAAATTATCAATCTAAATAATTTTGGCTCTATTCTTATAAACTGATTTCTAAAACGTATATTCAAAAATAGCACATACGAATAAATTAGTCTATTACACCTGATAAATTAAAAATTAATTTTAGTATATTTTTTTTTGCAAATGAATCTAAAACTCCAAAATTTTATATGTATATTATTTGCTTGCAATTTTATGTTATACAAAAATTTAGTAATATAATTGAGAAAAAGCCAAAATGGTTATTCTTCAGAATAAAGTGAAAAAAAAAATTAAAGGCTTCTGGGTGTTTGAATTTTATTAATTAATTTGTTTTTCTTTCAATTTTCCTTTTCCATTTATCGACTAATTTTATTTTCAGCATTTTCAAAACATTAATTATGATAATTGATAAGCGATTTAATTGAAATAAAATAGATAATATATAAGTAATTTTAAAAATTATTCAAAAATAATTAAATAATTTAAAAAATAGGGGGGGGGGGCAATTAAATAAAATAAAAGTTACAAAAAAAAGTAAAATGATTAAATCCAAGTTTAAAAATATCAAGCTGTCCTAGTTTACTTTTGTCGTATCTTTATCATTGTAACTATATCTTTTTAATATAAGCTGATACAAAAATATTTAAACTCCTATTATATCTAAAGGACCATCTGCGGGCGAAGAGCTAGCTAGGACAGTTCTAATTTATAGGGAGTAAACGCTTTCAGGGACATTTTTATATCTATTGAAAGGAAATTTTGGTGGGTATTGATTAGGCAAAAATGTGTATATGGGGAATCCGAGGCTAAAGAGTAACCATTGCGAAGATGTGCCTTACAATAGGCAAAAAAGCTCTTTAGGACAAGTTATTTGTTCTTAAACAGGTTTTTGTAAACTAGCCCTGGAATTTATTATTTATGTGAAGTATTGAGATAGTGACGAAGCGTCAAGTTTACTACTAAGGAAGCAATCGAAAATTTTATTTTTATTTGTATTTATTAGTCAAACCAAATAAAAAATTAAAATATATAAATATATAGAATTCGTCTTTGTTTAGAAATAAAATGATCAAGTACTGAGTTATAAAAGTTATTTCTAGATTTTAAATTTTTTAATAAGTTTTTTTCAATCGAAATCAAAAATAGATTTTAAAAAAATTAAACCTATAATTTATTCATTAAAAGTTAGCGGAATATCTATAAAATTATTTTACAAATAAATAAATTTATTTGCTTATAATAATTTTGTGCATTAATGATATTTATAATTAATAGGCGTCATGGCTAACTTTGCATGATAAAAATATCCTTCACAAGAACTGATATCTAGATAAAATTTGCACTTAAATATTTTTATTTTTTATGTAAAAAAGCGTTAAATAAAAGTATATGAAATGTATCTTAAAAAGTATCTATAAACAGATCAAGATAACTCTAAAATAGTATATAGATATAGATACAGATACAGATACTTTTTATACAACTCTAATAATCTTATTAAATTTTCAATACAATTATTAAACA